CCCCTTTCATCATAGTGCAATAGTGCTTGGTCTTTTCAATGTGCTAATAAGTTTTGTTGGTGTTTTAGCTTTTAGCTTTTTTTTTTTTTGCCGTGACCAAAAAAAAAAAAAATCTGAGAAAAGCAATTTTAAGAAGGAAAATTTTATTTAGGAGCTCACAGTTTCAGAGGTCCCATTTCATAGATGGCCAACTCCATTCCTCAGGGCTCAAGGTAGGTGAGGTAGCACATTATGGCAGGAGTGTGTAGTAGAGGGAATGGCTCAGGACATGATCAGGAAGCAGAGAGAGATTAAGCTCAGCTCAAAAATTATTTAAACCAAAGGTATGCCCCCAAAGACCCACCTCCTCCAGCCACACCCTACCTGCCTATGGTCACCACTCAGTCAATCCCTATCAGAGGGATTGATTAGTTTAAGGCTCTCATAACCCAATCATTTCACTTGTAAACCTTCAAAACCTTTGCACATGAGCTTTTGGGGGACACCTGGTATGTAAAACATAATGGGTTAGTATTCATTGTTGAGTATTATTGTATCTATGTTTATCAGGGATGTTTGCCAGTATTTTCTTTTCTCTTTTTATCTATTGAAATGTTTATTGTTTGTGTGTTTATATGTTGGTTTTTTTTTTTTTTTTGTAATTTTGGTTTTGCAGTAAGGGTCTTGTGGAATGAATTTGGAAGAATTCTCTCCTTACCCTCTTCAAATTTTTGGAATATTTTTCTTTCTTTTTAAAAATTTGTTTTAATTACTTATACATGCCGCAGAATGCATTTTGACATATTGTACACAACTGGAGCACAACTTCTCATTTCTCTGACTGTTGCACCATGCAGAATTATACCAGTTGTGAACTCATACACGTAAATAGGGTATTAATGTCTGACCATTCTTCCCACCTCAAACCCCCTCCCCTCTGCTAACTCACATCTTCCCTATCCAATGTTCCTCCATTCCACCCTAGCACCACCCCCATTATGGATTGGCATCTGCATATCAGAGAAAACATTTGGCTTCTGGTTTGGGGGGATTGGGTTATTTCACTTAACATGAAATTCTCCAGCTTCATCCACTTACTGGCAAATGCCAGAATGTCATTATTCTTTAGGCAGAGTAATATTCTATTGTGTATATATACCACACTTTCTTTATCCATTAATCTTTTGAAGAGCATCTAGATTGGTTCCATAGTTTAGATATTGTGAATTGAACTGCTATAAACATTGATGTGGCTGTGTCATTGTAGCATGCTGATTTTAAATCTTTCGGGTATAAAAACAAGAGTGGGATGACTGGGTCAAATAGTGTTTCCATTCCACGTTTTCTGAGGACTCTCCATACTGCTTTCCAGAATGGGTACATCAATTCTCAGTCCCACCAGCAATGTATGAGTGTAAAGTAGTTGAACATAATTTCTGATTTTTAGTACTCCGCCATTGAGCTTGGCTACAGGCTGAACTCAACAACAGCCCCTGCAGGTGGCCAAAAGAAATGCTCCTCTCTGTTGGACAGCCATTCAGGTACCTCCATAGATCAGGCCAGGTATGATTATTGAACCTGATGGGATATGCACAAATTGAGCACATAATAAAGCATTCTTGGCATACCCTTAGAACATTAGAACATTTGTCTGAGTGGTGTCTATATATAACACTTTTTTTTTCTTTAAATGGAGCTGAGATACACTGGAGAGAAAATGCTCAGTACACAAATAATTGCTCCCATAACTGTTCTGCAGAGCCACACCAGTGAAACAGCTTGCCTTATTTTGAGGATTTAATTTGCTAGGGTGGAATACCAGCTATGAACAAAAGACTAGGTCTATGTAACAACTACTGCCACTTGAAGAGTCAGCCAGCTCTCTCAAAGTATTTAAGTAGATGTCTCTGTCCAGACAAGAATACTTAACTCTTCCTTTGTTCTCTGGACATTCCAGAGACCACTGTAGCCTATGCATATGTGTCCTAGATTGCA